TGAATTATCTTCAGTAAAATTTTACTTGTGTGTGATATTAATGATATTGTTTGATAATTTCCACATTCCGTTGGATTACTTTCCTTTGTAATAGGCATGGATATGGATCTTTTCTAGTCGGTTTGCCAGGTAGCTGTTTTTCAAATTTCTTGGCGAGTGAACGCTTCCAGTGTTGTATCTGTTTGTTGAAACATCTTAACCGGTATTCTGTCAATTCTTGGAGCCTTGTTTTTTGCCAATGCCTTCAGTGCAACTTGGATTTCTTTCTACGTACCATTGGCTCTTGATCATATGTTACTTGATCAAATGGCTCTTGATCAAATGGTTGAACATCAACCAATTCTTTTTGGTACAGTGACCTGTGTATTTCTTGCATCTTCTTTTGATGCTTCCTGTGTTGTTCAATTTCTTAACGACAGAATCCTTCAATATTGCAAACTCAAGGCTTTAATTTTTTCTTCAGTTCTTACAGCTTGAGAAATGCTTGTTCATAATATGTAAGCAATATGAAAAATCAGTGAAATTTTACATTTTTTTGAACCAAGTCTTTGAAATGTGATACTCTGCAATAATAACATACTTCAGTTTGGAATGGCCGTATTGAAATGGGCCAACAACCATACATGGCTGACGGTTACCGTACTGGACAGCACAGGCCTAAACAGAACCTAAGCCTAGGCCTACAAGTCACTTGGTCGCAGGCTAGAAAAAGCCTTAGAATGGTGAAGACAACCCATCAGAGAAACAAAGGGGAAGTGGGAATGAATGTTCACTGAGCACCTACTCTGTGACAGGCATTTAACATTTACTCTCATTTAACCCTTATCATGATCCTAGAATGTAGTATTTCCCCCATTTTACAGATGAGGAAAAGTAACTGGACCAAGGTTACTGAAAAAGCTATAATTTGCCCAAAGGAAATCTTCAAAATTGTTGCAAGAACTTAGATCACCTTAGGAGAGGCCAAATGCGAATTATAAAAAATAAAATCTACTATCCTCTTTACTTTTAATTTAAAACAAAACCAAAAGCACAGATATGAAGGACAAGGCAACATCTTCAGAGCACTGTTCATCAGAGGCCAGGCTTCCTGACAGCCAGGATGGCTCTGGGAGGGTAGCAGTGATAGATATCCTGGCTCTGAATCAATTAGTACAACTCTGCAGCTGTCAAAAATCAGTATTCAGTGGCACACAATTCATGGGAAAAGCAATTCATATGTTACCGAGGGGGGAAAAAAAAACAAAAAACTCAGTCTCCAGGGATTATACAAGACCAAGTGTTACAGATATCCTTTCCTAGTTCCAAGTCCCCCAGGCAAACTGAGCCACCTAGGATACGGTCATCAAGGGTGGGTAGGAACATGGAAGAGATCAAGGCAGGAAAGGTAAGGGAAGCAGAGACGCAACCTCCAGAATAGATGTAGACAACATGGTGCACACAGACCCTGAAGGGACCAGCGTGACTAACGTATCTGCAGTGATGTCCATAATATGAGCCAAGGCAACAATTTCCACAGGTTCAGTACGTTCTACTGACATGTCCAAGGCAGTTTTGTTGTTAGTTGCCATCGAGTTGATTCTGACTCATAGTGATCCCATGTATGTATAGAGTAGAACTGCTCTATAGGGCTTTCAAAGCTGTGACCTTTTGGAAAAAGACTGCCAGGCCTGTCTTCTGAGGCATCTCTAGGTGGGTTCAAACTGCCAACCTTTAGGCTGGCAGTTGACTACGTAATCATTTGCACCACTCAGGGATTCCAAGGCAGTTTTATAAGAAAGGAAAAATAGTAAACACCAAAATAACAAAACCCGCAGAGATATAAAATGATGACTGCCTTTCTCACCAGGAACTGCCTTAAGAGCTACTGGCTATAAGGTGGGAGCCTCTTTCTAACGGTGTTTTGTTCCTTGGGGAGAAAAGTCTGTAAGTTCCCGTGTAAGTCAACAGTCACTAATATTTGGTACAAATACCACAAACACACATCCCAGGATTTCTATTTTTTCCCTCAGGTATCTACAAAAATCGAATCTTTCCTAAAAACAATGGATAAGCTTTTTTTCTCTTCTAGGGTTTTAAGAAGTAGACAATCTCAAAACTGGCATACTATGTTAGCAGATGTGAGAATTCTAGTGGATACCAGTATGAGTGAAGAATTCAAGAGAGAATTACAACTACCTCAGGTAGAATGGATTCTATGGATCCATCACTATAATGACTTCTAAAAACATTAGTTTCAAGTTTCTAGGCAGATTAATTTATTGATTAGAATAGAAAAGGCTTCAAAAACACTAAAAATAAATTATTTCAGAAATCAGTCTCACAGTTTGAGAATGTTCTTAGGATTTAAGTACACAGATATTTTGATCAAATAAAATCCCCTAGAAAACCCTATAGCAAGAATATCATGCCTTGAACCTACTCATTTTTAGCTCTGGAAGAATGATGGCGCTGTACGTTTAATGAAAAGAATAGGAAGGCAATGGGTTCTCAAGAGAACACATCAGGTGTCCAAATAGATACTTAAGCCCTGATATTAAAAAATTCATGTAGGGCTATCAAAGACAAGACTCAAAGCACACCAGGAAACACCTCAAGTCCATTTAATGAAAAGCACCATAACTGTGTAAGTCAGAAAGCAGAGAACTACCCACATCCTGGCCTCCTTCAGCTGCATTTGCCCCTCAGCCCCAGATTCTAAACAAGGAAGAAGTCAAAGCCTTCCCTGCATGCAATGCTTCTGCCAAAACTACCATCTGTGGACTTACAGAATGCCTTATCCACTGTCATGGTATTCCACACAGCACTGCCTCTTATCAAGGAACTCATTTCACAGCAAATGAAGTGTGGTAATGCGCCCATGCTCATGGAATTCACTGTTCTTACCATGTTCCCCATTATCCTGAAGCAGGTGGCATGACAGAATTTTGGAACGGCCTTTTGAAAACTCGATTATGGTTCCAGTTAAGTGGCAATACTTTGCAGGGCTGGGGCAATGCTCTCTAGGAGGTTGTATATGCTCTAAATCAGCAACCAATATATGGTGCTGTTTCTCCCATAGCTAAGAATCTATCAGAATTTAAAGATGCTTTCCTGAACATTACTTAAAAGCAGAGTGACTTGGTATCTTCCCAGTTTCACAACTGGAGAAACCAAGGCTCTGAGGGGTTAAGTATTTTGTCCAAAGTCCTAAACACCAATAGGTGGTTGTCCTGACTCCCAGTTCCATTCTATTTCCCCTGGACCATGCTATTTCTAGTTTGCCTACTAATATTTTTCTTTCTAAAAACCCTCTTGAAAAACTTCTACTACCAAATCTAAAGGTAAATTAATTTCTAGTTAGAGGAGAAAACAACTTCAACAGCAATTTTGCCAGCCACACATACTCTCTGTCCTGCTCTCCCGAACAGCCAACAAATAACTAAGTCCATGGATTAGTCACACGCACACTGTTTTGGCTGTCAGGCTGTTGACAGCTCAGCTCATTATGCTCCACTCACCCAGAAATGGTACTAAGGCAACTGTGCTGCCAACACATGATGAATCACCTACAATCTCTTTGACATTCTTTGTGGTAAATGAAAGCTGTTGCATTTCATACTTTTCAAATGATATCTGTCAGCACAGTAGAGCAAAAAAGCATGGATTTTGAGGTGGCACAATTAATTTTCAGTCCTAGTTCTGCCACTCATTATGTGACCTTGGCAAAGTCCATGTAACCAACATGTATGCCATCCAATGTGTGTTAAGGGCTGTGTATTCTATGTTTTGCCAGCCCCTCCTCTCTAGGAATTCCCAGGGTAAGAAAGACAAATGCAATCTGGTGTGATAAGTGAGAGAACAGCTGGGAACACGTAGAAAAGGGTACCTATTCCATGTGGGGGTATGGTTTAGAGGAACTTCCTGGAAGGGAGCCCTAAACCAAAGCCCTAAAGGACAACCAAGTTAGCCCAGTGCAAGAAGCATGAGATGAGCATTCCAGACAGAAGGAGCAGTTGTACAAAGGCAAGGTAGCAAGAGATGGTTCACTTAAGGAAGTTCTCATTCACTTGTTCTCATTTATCCGTCACCTTTTGTTAGGCTATAAGCTCCCTTAAAGTTAGGAACCTTATCTATCTCATTTGTTACCAAATCCTGAGTACCTAGAACAGTGTCTGGCCCAGGCAAGGTGCTCATAAACATCTGTTGCCTGAATGCAGCAGAGGATTAATAGGAGAAGGTGGGAGTCAAGAAGCCCAGAGAAGTAGGCAGGTTTCAGATTGCTAAGAAGTCTTGGGTCATCTCCAAGAGTTTCTATGGATGGAAAGGGGCCAGTAAGAAATTCCTTACCCATTTTGAAACCCAGTTTCCTTGGTTCTATAATGGGGCCAATAAAGGTCTATCACTCAGGGCCATGAAGATCGAACAAGAGAAACTGTGAAGCACCTGACTGGTAGTATCTCAATCACAGCTAGAATTTGATTTTTCCAGCTTTGAGATCAGAGCCTAAGGGTAGCAGCTTGGCTTTGCTGACATCGGGACAGACATGGGAGACCTAAGACACAGGGATTTAAGAACTGATCTTCCCTGCTTGCTCAATGCTCAATTCAAGGTTTCTGGTGTACTGTGCTGACATGAGAAGATACTTAATAAATACTGTTGACTGAGATATAGTATAACGGTTAAGTGCGTAAACTCTGGAGCCAGGCTGCACCTAGTTCAATAAAGGGCTCTGTGACTTTTCAGCTAAGCAACCTTGAGCAAACCATTTAATTTCTGTACCTCAGTTTCCTCATCTTTAAAATGGGGATAATAGTACCTACTTCATAAGGCTCTGAGTTCTAACAGGTAAAACACTTAGAATAGCATTTGGCACATCCGAAGCATTCAATTAGTGTTGTTAATGTGGAGATGGCTTCCTAGGGACCATGCTTCATTTTAGATCTCTGAGAGAGGTGAAGTTTCTGACTTTAACATTTAAATGTTGACTCTTAAAAGAGGAGAAAAGGAACATTTTGTTCCATGAGCATTTCCTGACACATTTCACTGTATTCTTATTCGGCTTCCTTCACCACACTGGTTTATAAGTTGCCCTAGCATCTCTGCCCCTTGGAAATGCACACACGCTCTCCTCAACAAGCTCTGAACACCAAGCACAATAAAACACTCCTATGATTTTAATGGTCTTCCAGATTTGTCTGTCTCCTTTGAAAGGAGAAGCCACATTTAGAAGGCACTAAAATTTGTAGTGGAAAGTGATTGGCTTTATAAATGTGGGTCTTAAGAGAAAAAGAAAATTTCATAGATAATTATGAAGGCCGTTTTACTTCCCTGACAGACTTCTGTTTGTTTAATTTTTTTTTTATCGTACTTTAGATGAAGGCTTACACAACAGATAGTTTCTCATTACACAGTTAATATACATATTATTTTGACACTGGTTAACAACCCCATGACATGTCAACACTGTCCCTTCTCGACCTTGGGTTCCCTATTACCAGCTTTCCTGCCCCCTCCTGCCTTCTAGTCCTTGTCCCTGGACTGTTATGCCCCATTAATCTCGTTTTGTTTTATGGGGCTGTCTAATCTTTGGCTGAAGGGTGAACCTTGGGAGTGACTTCATTACTGAGCTAAAAGGGTGTCTGGGGCCATACTCTACGGGTTTCTCCAGTCGCTGTCAGGCCAGTAAGTCTGGTCTTTTTTTGTGATTTAGAATTTTGTTGTACATTTTTCTCTAGCTCTGTCTGGAACCCTCTGTTGTAATCGTTGTCCCTGACAGACTTTTCACAGCACTCCATCAAGAGCACTGTAAAACGAAATAAATAAGAGATAGACATGGTTCTTTATTAGTATGTAAACATTAAAATCCTGAAATTAAAGTACCCAATACACCGGGAGAGACTCTTATTGCCTGAGCATGGAAGCAAAGTGTTTTGGATCAAGGTGCCCATGATCCCTACGAACAGAGGGCCTCAGTGTTAGTTACCAAGTTTGGAAAGAGACTTTTAAACCAAAAGGAAATGGCAACAAAAGAAAGTGCTACACTATGACAACTCTAGCACGCAGAATGTTTTCTATAACTGACACAATAGCCGCTACAACAGACTCAAACATACCAATGATCATGAAGATGGCGCAGCACTGGACAATGTTTCGTTCTGTTATACATAAGGTCACAATGAATTATTGGAGCCAACTCAATGGCAACTAACAATAACAAATACTCAAAGTAAGGTCAGACAAGCAGCACCCATCACCCGGCAGCTGGTCAGAAATGCAGAATCAGTATTTTAACAAGGTCCTCAGGGGATTCACATGCACAATAAAGTCTGAGAAGCTCTGCTTTATAGCATATGGGCTCCAAACCAGGCTGTATCTTAGAATCATCTGTAAATGTTAAAAAAATAAAAAAAGCAGATGCTGGGTCCCTATTCCAGACCGGGAGTCAATCAGAATCTTTCTGCACTTTGCCCAGGCATGTACCATTTTTCTTTTTCACAACTTCAGAGGGCAATTTTGATGCACAACCTGGTTGAGAGTCACTGCTCCTGGACAAAGTAAAGATCTTAGTCTCAAAAGATAAAAGCTATTCAACGTTGATGTGATGTGTATATCTAGGGAAAAAAAATCCCATTAATGGGGGCTGTGGGGATGGAGGAGTTTAAAAAAATGGAATCACTGTTTCCAACCTGATAAATACACTTATAAGATCTTAAGCTGACCAGTCTTCACCCTCATAGAAGGAGAAACTCAACCAATTCTTCTTAGAAGGAATAGTCTTATTTTCTCTGCAAATGCTTATTCCACCTTCTTGTCAGGCACGTACCTTGCTTGTCTGATTTGGTTTGATCCCAGGTCCTCGAACCAGCAGTGGGACTTTGATATCAAACTCATACAGCTGTCTTTTGTCTATTGGCAAAGAAAACTGTCCTGAAAACAAAACAAACAGGGTAAAGATGGCACCAAGATAGAAGTGTTGCTCACATTTTGCTTCATTCATTCAATCAATAGCAAAAACTAAAACAACTTCATTTTACTAATTACAGTGTTTTACTAGAAAGCTTATGTTTGCCCGGGTCTCTTATTACCACAAGGCAGGGAACACTGAGTTCTTCTTTAAGTAAATGCCGAGATTAGTCCACTAGTCTCAGGACAAATTAAGCAAAAAGAATGACTGGAACATAATGAAATACAAATACATAAAAATCTAGCTTTATAATGATACTCAACCTTGATCACAACTGAATGAGGTTACTCCCCAGACTGCTAAATAAAGGGAAATAAACATTTATCTTGCCTTTCCTGAATGAACTGCATTTTAAGATAACCAAATAGTTGATGAGGGGAAGTTCCTTTCTAAGGAATTCCAGCTGACAAACGCAAAAGGAAGGACAGAATAACAAAGTCAGCATTTTGCAACTTCTAAGGGAATAATGGATTTAATCAACAATCATCAATTGAAGCTTTAACCATACAAAGGCTCACAGGAAGGGCTCAGACTGGTATCACCTGAGCCCCCATCAACGCTAGCATCCCTAAAGTGGAGCAATCAGACACCGCGGACCTCACGATGTGATGCAATAGAAAGTACACATCACCATCACCTATGAAGCATTCTTCCTCGAAAACACAAATTTCTGTCAAATCTCTAGCTCTACCTACCAATCTACAGGAAACGCTGAGTACAGATGAATAAGATACTATGAGATACCAATTAGCCAAATCGAGAATGTAATACATTCCAAAGGATAAAAGACCCACTTTTCTAATAAATCAGTGGCAAAATGAACGACTTAAGAGACATAACCAAATGCGATGTGTAGATCTTATCTGTATCCTGATACAAAATAAACTGCTAAAAAAAAAAAAACTTGAATACATTCTGGGTATTAGATGATATCAAGGAATTAATGTTAATTTTCTTAGGAGTGATACTGGCATGGTAGAGTAAAAATGTTCCTTATCGGTCAGATGTACATGCAAGTGTTTACATGTGGAATCATATAATGACTGGGATTTGCTTCAAAACTTTCTAGCAAAAAAAGAAAAACGAGGAGGGTAGGAAGTATTCAAAAGACTGACCATGTGTAGTGAAAAACTGAAGCTGGATAAAAGAGGTTATTTTATAGTCTCTACTTTGTTTAAAAACATTCACAATAATACATTAAAAGCCTAATCAATCTGCTCCTATGCATGGAAGTTCATGTTAATTTCATTCAAATTTATAGATGGTGAAGAAAGAAAACGTTTAACTACGGAAGGTTCAAGAAGAAAGGCTGAAAGGCAAGGACAAGGCTCTGACTCATACTGCAGTTTTGGGGTGGCGGGGAAGAGAATCCAAAAAATCAAATTTCACAATTCACAGTTTTTCCCCAAGACAACCTTCTCTTGGTGTTCTTGTCCAGAAGGTGTCATCTCTACTCTCTAAGTTCTACTTATCCTTTAAATCCGGGTCAATTCCTTACCTCTTCCATGAAGTCTATCTGACTCCAACCAATAAAGATGACTACAGTACTCTGGACTCCTAGGGCACCATGTAATTTAGCATCTGAAATAGCTAACAACAAAACCTGGTCTCTCCATGTGGGATTGCTTGGCCCTCTAACGAGAGAGGCCTGATGTCAACTTTGCTGACCTCTGGCATGTCCATTTTTATAAAAGGACTAAAGCTCCCTGCCAGGGCTGCTGATCAGGTGAGAAAGGAAAAGACATACTCATAAAGATCACAGAAATCCCTACCCCAGCCCCTTACCTGTGTGATAGCCATTGTCTGATGTATAAAAGATGTAAGTGTTGTTGAGCTCCCCATTGAACTCCAATCTCTTTATCAGTTTCTCCACAAGGTCATCAACTGAGAGTAGAGTTTGCCACCTGGATGTGACAGAGGGTGGCAATAGTGATTTCAAAGGCAATGGCTATAGTATCGCTATCTTGCCAAAAAAGGGCAAAAACAACGTTCAAAAAGAAACAAAAACCACTCACTCCCTCTCCCAAAGCTCAAATCCCAAAGGCCCGCCTCCTAGGCCTTCATTGCAAAAAACAGACTAGAAAATTACTGAACATAATTAGGTCATTTCAAATTGAATTTTATCCCAGAAATAAACTAGGCTTTTTATAGCCAGTTGACTTTATTGTCACTGGTGATGACAGAAGTGATAAGTGGAAAGGAAGCTATCAATTCAGTACTAATTCCTACAGATTTATTCAGATGTATCTGTGCTATAAGTGTTTATTATCCTACAGCAGGGGTTTGCAAACTACAGCCCATGGACCAAAGATGGCCTGCCATCTGTTTTTATATATAAAGTTTTATTGGAACACAGCCATGCTCATTCATTTATGTATTGTCTAAGGCTGCTTTTGTGCTACAACAACAGGGTTGAGTAACTATGACTGAGATGGTATTGCCTGCAGGTCTGTAATATTTACTATCTGACACTTTACGGAGAAACGCTGCTGATCTCTATATAAACTGTACGCTCAGTAAGAGAAAATAACAGATTTTTGAAAACTGACTTAAAAGATTATTTCTTGAAAATTCTAAACATCAAAGGCAAATATTTTGCTCTGGTCTTAAGTCTTCAGGTCTTTTGCCAAATATTTGGGCTGATCTCTCACCAAGTGACCTTTTTTTTAGGCATAGGAAAAAAAATTTTCTAACAAATGGCTCAAGTTTGCAATATTCTTTAGCAAGTCATAAAAATGGATTAACTAGTCTTGGGATCCAAAGGCCACCTCATACAACTGAATGTAAAAGAACTGTGGCCTGCTTCTTGAGACAGCAGACTCTAATCATAGCATCTCTCTCATCAACTTGCTTCCCTCTGACTTTGTCTCAAAGATAACCATGTGGCTCAGTGCCTTGTTCATGAGCTGATTTGGAGGGTCCTCAAAGACCACACAGATCGAAAAAGTAGTGGCTCTTACCTTCCCCTAAATGCATTATCTAAAAACTGTATTGAAGAATTACTCATTGGGGTCTTGGCTTGCCTAATTAACCAGTGCTTGTTCTAAAATTTAGAAGAAAAAAAAATGTTAACACCAAATCACCACAGTCAAATAAACTACCAGAGTAAATGATGAAAAGGATCATTTTATACTTGAGCAAAGAAGGAACTAGTTGGAACTTGTTTAAGAAACTTCAGACCTTCCCTCCCCTTCCCCGGTGCTCCTAAAATTTTTTCTACAGGTTAACTCTAGCTTCTTCCTGCCACCTCCCAAACCATAAAAGTTCCTGGCTCCTTCGTTAGCAGCATGAGTAAGAGATTTAGTGAATGAAATTGGGAAACTACTAGCTACAATGAGATCAGATTTGTAACTCTGACCCTATGCTTTAGGTCTATTACAGTTACAAATCGGTAAAGATTAACTTTACCTTCCTCTTTATCTTCCTCAAAGTTTTGCCTAATATGTCATTATTCCATCTGCCCTCTATTTTCCTACCCAAGATATTAATTATCCTAGATCCTTGGGAAAAATCCCATCATAGGAATTTCCCAAAATTTCAAGTCCAAATCTGGAGTGTCCTTCCCATTTAAAAAAAAAACAAAAACCCTATTTTTTTAAAAACAAACATTCCCACACACCAATAAGCTCTCCTATTCACAAAGAGGATAAGCTAGCATTTCCTAAACTGTGTTCCTCAAAGTATTATTTAGATAATAAGTTTGAGAAATATGATATAGCATATCCCTGTTAGAAACTGAAATTAGAACATTAGTAACTCCAAGAAGTCTCGTAGCAGAGAGACTGATTTAACCCAAAGTTTCCCAATTATTTGGCCATGGGAACTTCTATTAACTTATATGGGAAACACAGTTTGAGAATGCCCTCTAATCAATAAAACTCAATTCACTCAGCTTTAGAATCATACTTAACAAGTGCCTGCCTATAATACGCTAGGAAGTATGCCAGAAGTTTCCACATACTTTAATCCATATATATAACAGTCTCATGAGGGATTAAGATCTCCCACTTTACAACTGCTCTGACTGGAATCACAATACAAGGTCCTGAACAGAGCCGGAAAAAACTGCAGAACAAAAAATCAAATTCCCAAAAAAGACCATACTTACTGGTCTGAAAGAGAGTGGGGGAACTCCCGAGACTATGGCCCTAAGACACCCTTCTGACCTGGAACTGAAGCCATTTCCAGAGATGACCTCCCAGCCAAATACTAGACAGGCCCATAAGATAAACAGTAACACCTGAGAGGAAAGTACTCCTTACAACAATCAATTATACAAGATTAAAAGCGCAATATCCACCCCAAAGCAAAGACAAGAAGGCAGGAAGGGATAGAAAATCAGGATGAAAGGAAACGGAGAATTCAGGGCAGAAATGGGGAGAGTGCTGACACATTGCGGGGAAGGAAACCAAGGTCATGAAACACCTTATATACAAACTATCGAATGGAAAACTAATTTGCTCTGTAAACTTTCACTTAATGCACAATAAATAAGTACAACACAATTAAAGGACAAAACAGTATGAATGCAATAAACTACTCAAATCTGTGATACACCTGAAAGGGAGGTTGAATTTAAGTTGAGCATTTAGAGAAGCTTTACGCTGAATAAACAAAATAGAGTAGTAGTTAATCTGATGGGCTCTGATTGCAAATTGCTTTGGTCCAAAGCTTGCTCGTGCTGGCATTTATTAGTTGTGGGAATTAGGGAAAAATAACTTATTTCTGCCTTAGTTTCCACCTCTATAAAATGGAAACAATACAAGTACTTATCTTAGAAAATATACAAAAAAATTAATAAAAAACACACAAAAATAAACGAGATCTCCCATTTTAGATGGAAAAATAGAAGTCAAGCATTTTGTTCATAGTCCTTAGCCAGAAAGTGGTAGTGTTGGGTCTGATTCCAAGACTTACTCTTCCTGCAACCTCATAATAAGATATCCAAGTAACAGGCATGAGGCAGTGCAGGCTTTCTACCTTTGAACCCGTGAAAAGCCTACATCCTGTGCCAAGGGAAAAATAAGTGATGCATGTGAGGCAAATATTCGTTTTTCTGGCACTTAATCATGTCCCTTACCCTGGCTTATTTCTCCATTCAACTTCCCTTCCCAACCATACTGCACTGTCTTACCTGTCTTCTTCCTATGCCGCAGGCCTGGCAAGGACCACCCAGAGGCTGCTGCAGGCCCAGCTCGGCCCCATGGGATGTGTATCAGCCACTGCCAAGTGGGAGGACAGCCAGCACAAACTTTTCAGGAGAACCTGAGTGATACTCCTGGAACCAGGGAAGATCGCATTTCCTTGACATTCCCTGTGGATTCTCTAGCTGCTCACCACGTGTGGCAGGAATGTTATCTGTGCTCTAAAGCAAGTTTATACATCTA